CCCCTCCGCGCCGGGCGTCTCCGCGCCCCTCGCCGGCCCGCGCTTCTTCCTCTGCCGCCCAGTCCTGCGCTGCCGCCGCCCGCAGCTCCCCGGAGCCCGGCCCAGCCCCGCCGCCGACCCCAGGACAGTCTACCGGGGATCTCCACCCCTCAACTGGCAGACGTGGTCGTGGTCGTCGTCCTCGGGAACAGGGGACTCAAGAGCCGATTGTCCGGGCCCGGGCCAAAAGGCGCCTCTCCGTGGGCACAACGCGCACAGCTCCCGAGCCTGAGATTCAGCCCCTGCCTGCGGATGGACCCTCAACGGACAACCCTGCACCGCCGAGCCCTGGGTCCCAGCATCCTGCTGAGGCTTCCGGGTGCTGTTGTGCCCCTGTACCCTAAGCCAAAGGGACGCCTTTGTACCCCAGGGCTTGCTGAGACTGGTCACATTTACATCTCAGAGCTTTGGGCGAGTTTGCAGGTCACGGGTCTTGCATGAGAGAGTCCCTCTGTTGATGCCCCTGGGTCCGTGGTATTTGCCAAGTTTGCCGTAGTTTGTTCTTCCTCTCAGACCCTGGAATGTCTTTGGACACTGCTAACTTCTGTGCGCTGAGGTTTCATCCACTGGACACTCGTGTCTCTGCGAACTAGCTTCTGCTGAGGTTGCCAGAAGCTGATCTACCCCTAGGCTCCTATCCTCTGGGCAACTCTGGATGCTGCTGTGCTTCTGAAGACTCCTGGGTTTTGGATTCCCTCCAATCTCCCTCCGACCTCCCTCTCCCCATTTTGTTGCACATCGAGGCCTTTTTGACCAATGAGGTCAGAAGAGGCTCAGAAAGTAATTTATGATCTTTCTGAGTCATTGATGTATCTAAAATGTGGTATCACCAGTATTTGTTCACAAATATATTAAAGATAACCAAAATGTTAAAATCTGACTTTATTTCTGTTATTGTGGATTCAACCCAGTTGGGAGGTGGAGGTTCTTCTTTTCTTCACTTTTCTTAATAATCAATTATATCAAAATATTTCAAGCAAAACTTATTTTTATGGGCTGGTTACAATGTGTGTTGTTGGTGAATGAGTTTGAGGGATGGTTGTTGGGTTCTGGTTGGCTGGCCGAGTGGGGAATTTGGTTTGCAGCCATATCTTAAGGATGACTTGGTGGAAATCACCTGGTACTTGGTGGGGCAGTAGGACACAAGTTGCTGGGAGAGAGGAGCAAGCATAGGACAAAAGGTATCATCTGAATATCTTCTCCCCAAGTCTCCACTCCCTTTTCAACACTGTATGTATATTTCACATGGTTAGTTCATTGATTCAGCCCAAGGAGTAAGTCCACAAATAAATGAACAGATAATTTCAATTAGTAACATTTGCTGTGAAGGAACTAAAGGGGATGAGATGACAGGGCAGAATGGGCAGGAGCCAGCCTAGGTTCTGGGGGTCAGGGAAAGCTTCATAGAGCGGGAGACCTTTCCGAGACCCAACTAACAAGAGGGAAGGTCCAGAGCAGATTTCCACTAGTGTAATACACCTGAGGTGGAACTTGTTGGTTTTGTTTTTCCAGGAATAGCAAGGAAGCTCATTTGTGTCTGGGACATAGAAGGAGGAGAGAGGCAGGGCCCAGGTATGTAGGACCTTGTGGCTCATGCTAAGGATTTGAATTTTTTTCTACTTAAAATGATAAGGCATTGGAAGTTTCAAACAACACTCGACATGATGTGATTTACATATTTAACCAACTTAGTTGTTCTGTGGAGAATGTGGGGGCAGGAGAATGAGTTAGAACATCTAAGTAATACAGGTGAGAGTTGATGGTTACTTTGACCTAGGCATTAGTATTGAAAATGCACAAAAGTGAACAAACTCAGAATAAATTTTGGAAATAGAAAATGATAGTTTGTATACAGAAAGAAACATTTAGGAGAAGCAGGCCACCTCTCCCCTCCCTCCAGCTCCTCACAGAATTTCAGTAAGGCCTGGAATTTGAAGCACCATGGAAACCTGAAGGCAGGAGTAATAAAAAGGTAGTGCTTATTTGAAGTTCTGATTAAGGAACAGCAAAAACCCATATCCGGGGCCGGTCCCGTGGCTTGGCTGTTAAGTGCGCGTGCTCCGCTGCTGGCGGCCCGGGTTCGGATCCCGGACACGCACCGACACACCACCTCTCCGGCCATGCTGAGGCCGCGTCCCACATACAGCAACTAGAAGGATGTGCAGCTATGACATACAACTATCTACTGGGGCTTTGGGGGAAAAATAAATAAACAAATAAAATTAAAAAAAAAAAACAAAAAAACCCATGTCTTCATTCCTCCCACCATGCAGCTAGCAACTTCTTTCCTTATGTAACAGGAGATGGAAGTGTATTCTGTGGAAGATTGAGGCTGAGAGTCTGAACTGGGGGACTCCAGGTACAGTGGAGGAGGGGAGTGAGATTCTTGACTGAAAAGGAGATTAAGCATTATTGAGACTTATTTAGACTTATTGAGATGGTGGAACCACAAGACGGAAGCCGACTGGAATCACTGAGAAGGGAACATCCCTAGAGAGCAGCTGACAGTAGATCTTACATGAGCAGGGAATAAACTTTTATGTGATAAGTAACTGAGATCTTGAGGGGTTTTTGTCTTCAATTTAGGTCATTTGTGGATACAGCAGAGCAGAGAAATAAAGGAATTCTGAACAGCATATATTCTTCAAGTTTACAGATGAAAGTCTATGCAGCCAAAAGTAATATATCATGTGTGGTTTTGTCAACTTATCCCCACCATCAATGTTTTAAAAAGTCAATATTACCTTTACAAGATCTAAAGACATTGCTATATATAGATCCTAGTCAGTCCAACAAAGTCAATTAGATCTGTGTAATTTTTTATTTTATTCATTCCCCTGCTGATAGACAATTAGATTATTTCCAAATCTTTGTTAATTCAAACAATGCTGTACTGACAGTTTTGTACATAGAAATAGAATTACTGGGTTGTATTTATGTTTATTTTCAACTTTTCTAGGAACAGCCAGATTGGCCTCCAACTTCTGTCTCCAGTGACAATGTTGGAGAGTTCTGGTTTCTCCGTATCTTGGCCCATTTTTTATATTGTCATATCTTTCCGTTTTTCGTAATCGAAATGAGTGAAAAATAGTATCTTGTTGCATGTCCCTGATTACTAGTGATCTTACACTTTTTATATTTAAATTTTCGTATTTAACCATATTAGCCGTTTGGATTTTCTCTTTCATGAATTGCCTATTCTAAGGCTTTGCCCACCGTTTTGGACTTGACTATCTTTTTTATTGGTCTGTAGAGGTTTTGTGATATTCTGGATGCTAACACATTGTCTATTGCAGGTATGATGAAAAACTTCTTCTAGTCTGCAATTTCTTTTTTTTTTTTTATGTCATATTATATGTCATTATAGTTGAGGTTCCCCAGAGAAACAGAACTAATAGGGTATATATATTTAGATATATATAAGAGGAGCTTTTACTACAGGAATTGGTTCACATGGTTATGGAGGCCAAGAAATCCCATGATCTGCCAGATCAGCCGTCTGCAGCTGGAGAACCAGGAATATGGTGGTGTAATTCGTCCTGCATCTACTGTTTTGTCCTATTCAGAATAGACTCTCAATGGCTTGGATGATCCCATCTGCACTGGTGAAGGCGATCTTTACCTAGTCTACTGGTACAAATGCTAATCACTTCCTGAGACACCCACGCAGATACACCCAGAAATGGTGCATCACCATCTATCTGGGCATCTCTTAGCCCAGTCATGTCAACACATAAAATTAACCATCACAGTCATCATTACATTGGCCTCAGTTAAATATATCAGACATTTCCATCTTGGTGCTAGGTTCTTCCTTAAGACATTTTTTCCACCCTGAGTTCGTAAAGACATTCTTCAATATTTTCTTCAATAGTCTTAAAGTTCTCTTTTGTATCTTCATTCTGTAATCCATCTCAAACTTATTTATGTGAGTACTGCATATCGAATAGTCCATTTCTCCCCAGAGGTTTGGTATGCACCTCCATTATATGGAGATTCCCACATACATCTGTACCTGTGTCTGGCCTTTGTATTCTGCACGTAGGTGTATTTGTCCATTGCAGCTCAAATATCAAAGTTTGATAGGGGAGAGATCACACCTCTTCTATTTTTAAGGAATCATCTTGGAGATTCTTGTTTGAATACCTGACTCCACCACTTACTAGATCTGTCACCTTGAGCAAGTAGTTTAATGTCTCCTTGACTCAGTTTCCTCATCTGAGAAATAGGGTTAATAGAAGGATTCCCTTATACGGCGATTATGAGTATTAAATGAGTTAATCTCTGCAGATTACATGGAACAGAGTCTAGCATTTGAGAGTCACCATACGTGTTAGTGACTTTTAATAATATTTGTACTATTAGAGGTAAAGAGGGACTTCTGTTTATCAAAAGAGGAAAAAGAGAGTAAAAAGACAAATCAAGGAGTGGGAACAAATATTATATTACTCATATCCAATAAAGAGCTAATATCCAGAATACATAAAGAACTACTGCAGAGACAGAAAGACAGACAACCCAGCAGAAAAAAGGGACAACATATGGAAATGCAAATCATAATGAGATACCCCAATGCCCTCACCTGATTGGCTAAAACTAAAAAGGCTGATAATCACCAAAGGTTTGCAAAAGTGAGGAGCAATGAACACCCTCATATGAAGGTGGTGAGTGTATAAACTGGTAAA